CATACCAACCCTGGACGCCCACCGCGCCCGCCCGCCCACAAATGGACGACCGTACCTGATGCTCGTATTGCTTCATTTGCGAAGTAAATGAAGCGAAGGGATTGATATGAAGCGGCTGCGGTGCTGCATGGATATATGAGTACATACGTGCAGCCATATCTACCGTACGGGCTATTGGCAAGATGCCTACGGGAAACTCGTCCGAAACTGCTTTATTGTGTCATCAAGAACGAAATCCGAGTACCAAATTATCGAGCCAACTGTCCTTGAGAGAGAGCGGCCCTGGTGGCGTAACGGATAGCTCGCTCACTCGGAAAGCGAGAAGTGTGGGTTCAAGTCCCGCTTGGGGTCATGACCTAAGACACAGCGATCTGTCTAACACAGCATTCTTGCGAATAACTTTCGCAGCGCGCACTGCGTCGTTAAACAGCAGTTGTACATGAGAGAAAGTAACTTCGAAAGCTTGTGATGCGCTTGTTTGGATATTATGTCACCTCTTCCTAGCCTGTTCATTCTTGTAGCCTACTGAAGTACACGTTTGGCAGAAAAGTTTTTCCAGAAATCTTCAATAAGAAATACGTACCTATTGTGGGGATAGTGGTCACCACTTCTCCTAGCTTGAGCTTATATAGCACAGTAGTTTTTCCTGCATTATCCAAGCCCACCTTAAAACACGTAAAACAAGTATACTGTTGATAAAAGTAAACATCTGGACTCATCTCTGCTTCACTAACCCTTTAAAGATTGAAGAATAATATATTAAGTACCATATTCTTTCCAACAGAGCGGAAAACACTCCTTGATGAGCTGGTTTCGTTGTCCGCACAAAAATACGGTCAGATGCCGCCCAGCACGTACTATTGGGTTTGGAAGTTAGTTGATAAAGCGAAACCTTTTTTGGATTTTTTGTAATTTTTCAGAGCACACCGAACCTGGACAGTATATTTTCCACAAAAACCAATGACCTTCGCCCCCCCCTCACAGGGGTATCACCGAGGCCTTTTGCGAGGAAGTCATGACGCAATGAGTCGAGGAAGCCATCCATCGCCATTTTGAGGTCATAATAAATTTCAGTTTCTTCTCCTCGCATGTGACGCTTTAGCGACCGTAGCAGTCGGTTGTCATAAAGTACAGGGTTCCAGGAATATCGGTGTAGGGTGTAAAGGTGAGCAAGCAGACCGCAGCCGAACCCCGTATTGTTTCAAGAAGTTTACGGAGGTGTTGAGAGCCACATTCGGATCAGCCTCGGGGTGCGGTACGTACACGATTGACAGCCTGTACGCTTTTCACACTGCTTTGAACATTTGCTGGAATCAGTTGATGAGAACAGGAGCTACGACGGCATTGCCGTTGTTCAACACCTCATTATGGATCGGCCTTATAATAGCCCAACAAAATGGGAGGAGATGTTTGCGATGTTTCGACTTCCATTAGGGTTGGGTGGGCAGGAAATAAGTCGTCGCCCATTTTGCTGTTACCACAGCTCATCTAACTCTTACCGGTGGTCACTAGATCAGCATAACGAACTTCCTGCTAACCTACCATCTTAGGTGGCGTTGAGGGTCAAAATAGTGTGGCAAGTCGTAAGGAACATAACAGCGCGCAACTTATTGCCTTTGCTATTTCCTTTGAACAAGTAAATCGTACAGATAATATAGAGCTGATATAGAGCTTACCATCAATATACGACATGGTGTCGTTCCAAACCAGAAATAGTGCAACCGTGACAAAAGGAGGCCCATCTGAATCTTCTGGAACTTTGCACCTTTTTCATGTTTTCACATAACAACCCGAAGTTTTGTAATGAAACTGAAATCTGAGAGTGAAGGG